AGTTCGATTGAGTTCGATTGAAATTTAGTTCGATTGGGTTCGATTTACTATGCCGGGATCAGATGAGTGCAGTTGGCAGTCATCGGCATAAGTGTTTAATTTTACAGACTTAATGTGAAAGATGAGGTCGTTGAGGAACATGTTGAAAAACATGGGCCCCAGGACGCTGCCTTGAGGCACGCCCCGCTTCACACTCATGCAATCCGAATAAGTATCACCAATTTTCACTCGATGCCTTCTATCCGTCAAGTAGTCACCGATAACGGCGCAGCTGGATTCGTGCAAGCCATACGCTTTCAGTTTTGCTAATAGCAAAGCATGAGGTATGGTGTCGAAAGCCTTTGACAAATCCATTGATATAACCGCCACGATCTCTTTATTGTCTAGACTGCGCCTCCAGTCCTCAGTCAGCCTAAGTAAAGATGTCTCACAGCTATGGTGCCTCCTGTAGGCAGATATGTATTCAGACAATATGTTCTGTGTGTCATTTAGCGATATAATGACCTTATTTTTCCCTTACCTAAATACCCTTAGCTCAGTTTTTTAAATCATAGCTCTTTGTCATAGCCCGTGTTTTATACCTGGTCCCCCGGCCGTTCAAGTATACACAGTCCGCACTCCGTAGTCCGCAGTCCGCAATCCACAGTCAATATATTTTATACTGACAGACTCCGAACTGATTTCTGGGAAATGTTTCCAAGATGGCGGCTGTGTCGAAGCTTCGTCTTGCTGAGTCGCTTTTATTGAAAACGGTAAGTACATACCTTTCTTTCTGAGTTTTTATTACTCAGGCCATCAACTATTATGTTACTTTTATCGCTCTAGGTTGTAATCAGACAATCAGGGCTTACTACTTGGCTTGTTGTAGCAACGCACGTGAACTTTGCATTTTAATAGCTTATAATTTAGGGCTAAAAGCGAAGCTTCCGTTGATATACTTTGAGTGAAAGCAAAAAATGTTTAACTTTAAACCATGACAAAGAAATATTCAAATCCCTACTTACCATTTGGAGCCTTTCATTTAACATTTGAGGAAGGGTTTTAGTTGATTAAGAATAAAATACCCGGCAAACAAATCTGAAATGCCACCTAGGTATGTAGCGCCCCAAAGGGTAGGGTTTTCTGCACCGTTTTAGTCTGAAAATGGGTATAGATTTTGCTCATTTTGGTCTGCAAACGGGTATGGTTTTCAAGGGAACTACCGGAGTGTACGAATGTATTTACTGTTTCAATTCCAAATTAGCAAGACAGAAAGAAAAATATGTGAATTCAAAATGGACTTTAAGAATTCTTTTTCTTGCTGTTCTAATCTAATTAATGATGACGTAATTTCTTAAAGGCCACGTCTGAGAATGGGTATGGATTTTAGATGTCAGGTGTGAAAAGGGGTGTGGAAAGTGACATTTTTTTTGGTCTGAAGTAGGGTCAGGATTTGGAGAACAGGGCAGCACATGCCAACCAAGAATGAACCAGTTTCGAATTACAAACTACCGGTGAATACAAACATTAACAACACATTCATACAGGGTTAGCCTCGACGTAAAGTAAAATATTCAGAAATTCTGGCAAGTAAGTGTTTTAAATTTGAATATACACAATAGACAGAGTGATAAACAAGTCTTTTTCTCGTTGGAATTTGTGAACATATTACTTCAGATGGAGGCTAAGGCTGTAAAAAATGCGTCGTCACTTCTTTAATTCAGCGGTCATAGCGAACTTGAAAATGGACTATTCCCAAGAGTACCCCCTGGGCATCAAGCTCAAAGTCTTCTTTTATACCGAACCTGAAAGTGGAATCAGGAGGGGGAGGGGGGGGTGGGGTGATCCTAAAGGTTGAGGATCATTAAATTTTCAAATTGATTGCCGTATTACAATTTATTATTGCATATTATTGGGTTTGAAATAGAAAACAAAGAAAGGGCTAAAGTATTGTTCAAACGAAGGAGAGAACAGTGGATTGAAATGTAAATTTTAGGGGGCAAATATGTAACAATTATAATTTATTCAAAGCAACATTATTTTGTGCCCTTTGTTTACATCACGTTTGTGTAGTTGCACATGCTGATCATGCAATCACAAGTTTTGAAAAAAATAGTTTTGATTCCAAAACTGCACATTTCGCTTTATTTGTCCGTTTCCTTGCCAATCAAATCATATACTTTTTTAACTCAAATTGCCATCTCAATTTAATCTATCCTTATTATGCTTCTTCTTGAAATATGCAGAGAGCATGTTGGAATGTTATTTTCTCAGTTTTTTCCCCAGATTGGGAGAGTTCTGATACAATGCAGGCAAAAATAAATTCACAGATTTTCGCAAAGCAAATGAACCAGTCAAGTGTAACTTTATTTAAATATCCCCTGAAAAAAGTTTTAGCAAAATTAAAAAGTGCAAGGTAAAATTTTGAACCCTCCAAAAACTGCAAACAATCCCACGGTAGTTGTTCTAAAGATTTACATTTTACAGGCTTACATAAATAAGTTTCTTAGTAGCTTACTGACCAATGAAAAACACTACTTTTAACTCCAAAATTGGTAAATTAAACCAAAGAAAAATTTCTTGCATTTTGTAATATTAAACGATATCAAATTTTACGGAAAAGTGAATGCTTATATCAATTCCAAACAATTAACCAGAATTAACGCACTGCAGAGAAAGCTAAAAATAAGCTTTTCAGACTTGAATGTCTGAAGTTTTGAATTAAAGCTTGTGGGTTCTTTTTTAAGCTTTTTTTTTCGAAGGTAAAGCGGAAGAAATAAAACACTGAGGCTAATGTCAATATTTGTGCAAGATCTAATGTGACAGTTGACATTGGCTTACATGTAGTGGGTGTATGGACAGTCTGCATTTGGATGTTTGCTGATGTCATAACCAAATTTTCTCAGATCCATAGGTTTCCATATTTCTTTAGCTATCACAGGAAAAAATAACAGATTCCCATTTTTGGATATTTTAGGGTATTTAAAGAATACTCACAAAAATCCCAAATTTGGAAGAGTGAGACAAGTCCCAATCAGGGAACTTGGTTGGGAATTTTCTGGTTGGGACTTGTCTCCTTTTGCCAAATTTGGGATTTTTATGGGTATTCTTTAATACCCTAAAATATCCAAAGATGGGAATCCGTTATTTTTCCTGTGATATGGAGTCTCGCTCAGGCATTTGGAAGCTCTGCCATAAGCTTATATCTCTGCACTGATCTCTCACGATCAGGCATTCGCGTTCCTGTAAAGGCGTCTTTTCGCACCAGTTTCATTTCAGTAAGACTACAACTTTTGACAAATTATTAATGATTATTTTACAGACGGATCCTTGTGTTATTGTGATGTCTGTAAGTAGGCCAGGTATATTTGTGAGACCCCCTGGGAGCTGTGCATATTTTGTGTACATTTGTACCTTTCCTTATTATCCTTAATTCTCTGTTGCCAGTTTGATGTACATGTAAATGTACAAACCTCCTTTGATGGAAAGGAAAGGTTTCCCTTGTATCTATGGCGCTCGATATAACATTTTTTAACAAAAAATGGAAACAATTCCTTGTGAGAGTCTTTTTCTTTAGCTCTGTATTCTTCTATATTGATTATTAAACCCCTTTTATCAGAAGAGTTTTCCACTTTGACACTCAGTTGACCAGAATCCATGTTTAAATATCCTGTATCCATATAATTTTTTGATTGCCCAAATTAATGTCCAATTATACAGGTTCCTATAATTCAAACCCAGGGCTCGAAATTAACGGTAACCCATTAACCAATGGTTAGTAGTTTCTAATGTTTGGTTACTAAAAATGAGCCTTACTATTCCGACATGGTTAGTAAAAATTTCTGTCATTGAAAAATCTTACACCTGTTTCTTTTTTGCATAACGTTGTATTCTGTCTTGATCAATTTCTTGTTCTAAAAGGTATCGATGCTTACAGCATCTTTGAACAACATGAAAAATGCATATTATTTCACAGAGCTCATGGTAACCAGGCTGGGGAGATCTGGACACAGCCTCAATATTAATATCTTTTGCAAAAAGCTCGTTTAATTTTTTATTTGCATCGTGCAGCCTATTTATTCATTTATCAGATCAGATACAGAGATGCTTGGATAGTTTTTTCAGAAAAAAGGTCACCGCCCAAAATTTGTGAAGAAGAAATGGAAGATCAAGAATAACGACAAAGAAGAACTACAGTTTCAAACACTAAGGAAGGCTCCCACATGGAGGGTGTATGAAGAAAGAAAGAAAGAGCTTTCCACCAAGAGTCAAAAAACGGTGTTGAACTGGCTTCAGTTTGATGAGTCTAAACAAACAACGTTTTGTAGTGTTTATGATGAATTTCCTGCCTTTGTGCAACTTAATTGAAAGGAATATGTTAATGAGCATTAAATCTTTAATAATACATGTATATAGATTTAGCCAGGGCTAAAAGTGAAGCTTTGGTTAACAATACTTATAAACAGAAAAACGGAGAGATCAATAGATCTAATTCTAATTAGTAAAATCAAATTTGCATGTGCAGCACTCTTTTTTGTCTTTCTTCGCCCTTTTTTTGCATTACTACAATACTGCTTTGTACAACTAAAATCTCAAACTTCCTCATTGCACATTGTTTTTATGGGGGAATTGTCATATGTGCTTACAAAAGATTTTGTTTCCTTTGTTCATGACAACCACACTGTTGCAATTAGGAACCTGAATTGGTATTGTTATTGGAAATTATGCATTGCATGCAAAACCTACAGATTAGTCAGTTATCTGCTAGCAGATAACTGACTAATCTAGATTGCACTGATCTCCCAATTTAGCTGTAGGGTCTTAGCCAATGTGAAGACAGATAGTGAGTACAATGTATAATAACAGAAATTAACATCACAAATTATTCTATATCTTGTCCCTACAGGTTACTCATAAAAATACCAGTGTATTTTACTGCTTCTCATGTTTGAATTACCAACACTGTTGCTGGCAACGTAATTTTTTCAGTTTGATGTAAACTGTGTAAATTGAATGATAGTAAGACTGGTCTCTTTCAGGCTTGTGGCTGCAAGAAAGTGAGATGGGCATCACACCTGGCTGCTAAGATCTCAAGATCAAGGGTCAGTCCTACAAGAAGTTCCAAACAAGCTAAATATTCGAAGCCAGTGAAACAAACTGTGGTAAGTTAGCAAACTGTAAGGTTTCTGCCTCTGACTTGTAATTAATCTACAAGCAAGAAAGAATGACTGAAGACTTGTATGTTAGCTATATACGTCTGCTTCAGTGTACCAGGAACTAAACAATGTACTTTTTAGCAAATTCGTAAGTTTGTAGAGTAACCATTTACACAACCTTTTTCTAAGAGGTTGAACAGAATCATTCTTTTTTTAACATTCATTTTGAAGGTTAAAAATAGACTGTCAGTTTTTTTCCCTGTATAGTCAAATCCTGCTTTGTAAATAAAAGCTTCATGAACACTTTGTAATTGTGGACAGTTCTCTTTGTCCTGGGTGTAAGCCCTAATATTTTCTATTCTTTCAACCCACTGAAGGTAATTCCCTTGATAACGATGTACTATTGAGCAATAAAAATACACGTACAGGTGTATGGGTTCATGAGCCTGCACGCTTATTCTTCTAATGTGTTTAAATTACTAAGTTACATGCAAAATGTTAAAAAGTTGAATGACTGCCAAAATTTGTTATTTCATAGTGCTCAGAAACATTGCTTATGTTTCCTTCAGTCTCTGCATGAAAAGGGTTCAACTGTACATGTGTCTTTGTTAAGAACTCTTTGTATGTTATTTTGTTACATGTACATAGAATATCAGACACCTTAAATTATAGATCTTCTAACTATGCATAAATATGAAATGTACATTCCTGGTTATCCCAGTAATCCTGATCATCCCAGCCATCCCATCCAGTCAACCCAGTCATCCGGTCATCCCAGTTATTGCAGTCATTCCAGTCATCCATGTCATCCAAATCATTGCTGGGTCATTCCTGTCATTCAAGTCATCCCAGTCTTCCTAGTCACCGTGGTCATACAAGTCATTCCTGTCATCCCAGTCATCCTAGTCATCCCAGCCATCCTAGGCATACTAGTCATCCCAATCATTCAAGTCCTCCCCGCCATTTTGTTACCCAATTGATCCCAGTCATCCCATGTATACCAGTCATTTCTGTCATCCCTGTCATCTCCAGGCTACCCACTTAAGCCAGTCTTCCCAGGTATCAGAGTCATCTTTCGTCATCCCAGTGAACCCAGTCATTCTCATAATTCTGGTCAACTTAGTCATCCCAGCTATCTGATGGTCATTCCAGTTAACCAGGGTACATAAGAAAGTCATTTTTACAGCTTGCTAGTCGGGCAAGCTTTAATACTAGCCCAAACGCCATTTCAACTAGCCCCCAAAATTATTTGATGAACAGAATTGATTTCACACTTCTTCTGTAAGTTGAATTCCTCAAAATGCCTCACTTGCCCGTCAGGCAAGTTACATTGTAAGAACAGAATCCACTAGCCCAATAGCAAAATCCACTAGTCCCGGGCTATCGGACACTACTTTCATTCACCCTAGTCACTCTAGTAATCCAAGTAATGACACCAAACTCACCCAAAAGTCACCCTAGTCATCCAAGTCACCCTAGTCACCCAAGTCAACCTAGACACGCTAGTCATCCTAGTCACCTAAGTCACCCTAGTCACTGTAGTCACCCAAGTCAACCTGGTCACCCTAGTCATCATAGTCACCCAAGTCAACCTAGTCACCGTACTCATCCTAGTCACCATAGTCACCCAAGTCAACCTAGTCACCCTAGTCATCCTAGTCACCTTGGTCACCTAAGTCACCCTACCCTAGTCACCGTAGTCACCCAAGTCAACCTAGTCACCCTAGTCGTCCTAGTCACCGTAGTCACCCAAGTCAACCTAGTCACCCTAGTTATCCTAGTCACTTAATCACCTAAGTCACCCTAGTCACTGTAGTCACCCAAGTCAACCTGGTCACCCTAGTCACTGTAGTCACCCAAGTCACCCTAGTCACTCTAGCACTCAAGTCACCCCAGTCACCTAAGTCACCCTAGTCACCCTAGTCACTGTAGTCACCCAAATCAACCTAGTCACCCCAGTACTCAAGTCACCCAAGTCAACCTAGTCACTCTAGTCACCCTAGTCACTCAAGTCACTCAAGTCACTCAAGTCACCCAAGTCACCCTAGTCACCCAAGTCACCCTAGTCACCCTAGTCACTCAAGTCACACTAGTCACCCAAGTCAACCTAGTCACCCAAGTCACCTTTGTCACGCAAGGCTTCCAAGTCACCCTAGTCTCCTTAGTCAAACTAGTCACCCTAGTCACCCTTGTGACCCTAATCACCCAAGTCACCTTGATCACCCAAGTCCCCTCAGCCCTTGTCACCCTACGCACCCTAGTCAACCAATACAGCTTGTCAGCATTGTCACCCCAGTCATTTAAATTACCCTGGTCACCCCAATTACCCTAGACGTCCTAGTCACCCCAGCCAGCCTAGTCACCCTAATTACCCTTATCAACTTTAAAAACTGCTGTTTTACCTTGTTAATGTGTTTATACAATAACTGGTACTCTTACCTTGTTTTATAATGACTTGTTCTTCTTTTTGTAGTCAAGTAAAGCAGGAACTACGCTCATTTAATTTAACTTGTTGTTCAACTGTTCAATAGGATTTGAAGACTGCACTTACAAGACACCTGGAAAAACGGAGAGATTTTGCCAAGCAGGAAGCGCGAAAAATTAACATCCCTTCCCTAAAACAAAGAAAGGCGGTTGGAGAAGATTCCATTTCTAAAGGACGCAGAGAGATAATAATTGAGCCCTCGTGTTCAGAGGTAATGGTATAGAAATTGGAAATTTATATCCAAACATGGGAAAAGTGCTTCAGCGGGAAAAAAATGTAACAGTTTTTTTTTTTAAAGTTAGTTATGTAAATTAGGGTAAATAAGGCATTTACCTTGCAGGATCTGAACTCAGCTTCACAATTAAAGAAGAGACTGACTTGCTTACTACTCGGGTTTTTGTCTGTGTTAAGGCCTCTGTAGACTTGCAGACTTTAAATTTACCGTCTCCTATTTTGAAAGTAAAATTTTTCAAGCGACAGCATAAAATTGTAAAAGACTCAAGTGGATAGAGCGCCGGCCCGGTGTCTGGGAGGTCATAGGTTCAAATCCTGTCGGAGACTCAGATTTTTTCTTTGTCCCACGCTCGTGACATGCTGATCATTTCATTTGCACATTTGTTTCTCCGAGCTTAAAATTTACCATCTTTCATTTTTTTACCAAGCGTAAAATTTTTGTTTTAGTTCCAAATTTTTATTCTTTTTAGAACCCTGCCTTCACATCAGAGGAAAACAGCAAAGTGACAGGTCATTCATTTCGTTCCCTTGGCTTAAGAGAGGATATACTGAACGGATTGATGGATTTATCAATTTCAAAACCCACTATGATTCAGGTATACATCAGAAAATAGCTCAACACTTTGTTCCATAGTTTTTGTAGTCTTTACGTTGTCAAGTTTTATTTTCAGTTTTAATCACTGTTTAATCTTTGTTTTTCTTTATCATCGTAGACGCAACAAAACAATGCACTTTGAATAATTATGTTCACGTTAAAAGACAACACATACAGTGTAAAAAGAGAAGGTTTTGCGTTTCCTCGAGTGCGGAAGTTTTTCACCACAAAAATAGAAAATTACTTTTTTTAGTTTAGCAAGCACTCTAACTTCGCTTCAAAAACACTTGTAGTAGGCGTATAGAGAAGAGAAGTCACAACGTCACAAAAACTAAATTTTGAGAAATCATGGGAAAGGTTGGCGTATCCAGAAAGAACAAGATAAAAAGTCTCCACTTGGTCAAAATGAGCCTGTTAGTGTAAATTGATGAGGAGATGTAAATAGCGTTATTCTCCTTAAACGTTAGCGTTGTGACTCCATATACGTCCTTCTAAAATTGACGTGGATCGTAACCGTTACAATCCAATCCAATTTTAGAACGATTTGCACGGATTCATCATAGTATGATGGTAGTCATGTCTCCCCTCCAATTTGCGCCAACAGGCCGATTTTTGGCAAGGGTTTTTTTTTCATATTGTACATTTACAAAATCTCTCAAATTTGATTTTTTTAATGACGCCACACAATGCAAAAAAGGAATCAGTAAGCCTAATGTGGCTGGAATAATAGTCTTGGATTGGAGTACAAAACAATGATGTCATTAGTCACTACTGTCCTCTAAATACATTAGTACTAAATGAAGACTTTTTTGTAGAGAATGGCAATTCCTCTTATACTCAAACGAGAACATGTACTATGTGCCGCACAGACAGGTAACTTTTGCTTTTGGTGGTAGCTTCTTATACTAAGGGTAACTAAATGTTCGATATCAGAGGATTTTCCCCCGATGGTAACGAAGTCAAGCAGGAGGAAAAAACTTTACCGTCGACTTAGTTCCTTTAATTTTCACTAGATCGTAAGCCCTGCGCATGCCAATACGACTCAGACTGCGACTCTCAATCTCCGCCTTTTGAACACTAACTGTTACAGTTCAGTAAAATAGATATATACCCAAAGAGGCAATAAAAAACAGGAACCAGGGCCTTTTGTTTTTGTAGGGGGGACGAAATCTTGCGTGGGTACCACATAAGCAGATTGCAAAACATGGTTTTGTCGCTCGAAAGGCGAGGAAGCGTAGATCCTTGATTATATCGTGAGCTTGTCGCTCCTGTAGGGCGTGGGTGCTCATTTTTTCATCCCCACCGCGGACATTCTGATGGAACATGGTCGGTATTAACCGCACGAATTCGATAGACCAATGCCAAAAATATACAACTGTTCTTAAACTAGACTCATCGCTTGCGCAGACGATAGAGCTTGTCCAGGCTACTCAGATACCGATTCTAATTCTACTGAGTTTAACTGACTTCTAAACTTGATCTGTGCTCCAGTGACAAGTGGTTGAATGCCGAATATAACCGAGAGGAACTAGTTTTTGACTACCATGTACCCAACAAACATAGGGAAACGTAAATTTTTGTCACCGATGGTTGACATGTCTTATCAAAATTTTAGGTACAGGAAAGACTCTCGCCTATCTCTCACCGATAGTTCACCATCTGCGAGATGAGCAGGATCAGGGCGTGATATCACGTCTTAACAGACCTCGGGCTCTTATTGTTTTACCTAACAGGGAACTTGCTTTCCAAGTTTTAGTAAGTGAAGTCATCCTTATTGTTATTGTTGTTCGCGCCAGAAAGCGCATAAGGCCTTTGTAAGTGGCATGGTTATGTATAAATTCATATTTATCAGATCCATTTGGATCACAAGGTGAAATGACAAAACCAGTTTCCGACGTATGCGTAACGATTTTGATTTTTCCTTTTTGACAAACTCTCGGCGAGAAAACAAATAACGATAATTTCTGAGTAGTTTGTGCAAATTAGAGTAGACTTCTCTTGAAAAAAGTTGGTTCGTTGTCTTTTACCTTCTGATCTGTCATCAATTACAGGCCCGTAAACCTTTCAAATCACTCATGATTACTGTTTTCTAGTCAATGGTTCCTTAACAAACACCAAACTGCTTTCGTCAGTCAGTGAAAGTAACGTGTTTTCAGCTATGCTATTTCTTTTTTAGAAAGTGGCAAAGTCGTTGTCTCATAACGCACGCTTCCGGTCAGCTCTTTTAACTGGAGGAAGAAAGCTAGTAAGTTGAAAATGATTATTGACTATATACTAGTTCTTATAGGGGGCAGCGTTTCTGAGCGGTGAATGGTTTGCTCTTGCAATCCGGGTGCTTCAAGTCCAAGCCTTTTTTTCGTGACATAGTCTAGCTGGTTTTGTTCTCATTTGTACCCCCCGAATTTAACTCCTCTGTAAAGCTTGCAAATAGCCCACTGGTTTGCCTCCAGCTAAATGGCGTACATCGTTTTGTAATTTCAATCATTTGTTTCTGTCTTTATTTGTGGTCTACAATTCAAACTACGGGTTACCAGCATTTGTGTGACCCCTACATAAGGTCATTCAGTTCCCCTTGTTCTGAAACTAAAGCAGTAGGTAAATCGGATGGCCCTATACAATATTCATGTTTTCGTTTATTTCGTTTGTATGCACATATTTTATAAAATCTTAAAATCTCTCTTTCAGACATACGCCTGTCTCGTTTATACGTTAACCTAGAACCACTTCCGGTGCTTATAAGTAGTGTTCCATGGTAGCTGTTTTCGTATTTAGCATTATTACAAGTGATTTTATACTTAAGCGAAGTATCATTATCTAGGGTGGACAATGCGTTTACAGCACGGCGTGATTTCTCTTTCGAAGCAACTCAAAAAAGGGTTAATGAATTGTGTTTTGCTGTTGTTGTATTTTGGTTTTCTTTTTCCTTAGAGAGTTTTAAAGTCAGGATTTGAATCTCCAGTTGATCTTCTTGTCGGAACACCAGGAACGTTACTGGAATTTCTAGAAAGAGGTAAAGGGTAAAGAAGTTTAATGATCACAATATGTTTCGTTAAAATTGCCCATGTTCAACGGTGGTACGCCACTGGGCCTTATTCACACGGCGGCTATATTGTTCCGAGAGACTGGAAAATCTTTGTTTTACCACCCTCGACCTCGCAGTAAAAAACTTGGGAACGAGGCTAGACAGGTAAAACAATGCAACTTTAGTCTCTCGGGACAAGATGGCCGCTGTGTGACAAAGGCCCTTTGCACGATGTCATTATTTTACTACTGCGGTCAGAATCCTTTTCGTTTTTTCTTTCATATTTGAATTTGGTACCCAGTGAGGTTTAAATAACAGAGGCCCTAATTTGCACAAGAAAGCAAAACCCTGAAGGATTCTTGTCGTAGTGATAAATGACGTCACCGGTCAAATGGCTTCAAATTTTTAACCATTTCTTAGGTTTTTTTGCACACCGTGACGTCTATTCAGGCTCCCATTGACTTTTTTTTTTCAAAATGTTCAGTATGTTTTGTGATCTTTAATTATCTTCTTCAGGTCGATTGTTTCTCTCGGACGTGTCTTACCTTGTAATTGATGAAGCTGATACTATGTTTGACAAAACCTTCAAAAACGACACCAGGCAACTTCTTGAATCAATCAACGTAAGTGTGCATAAAGGTTGCGTTTTCTGAGACTTCTCTAGCTTAGAAACATCAAACCCGAAGTCCTCCACCTTTCCTACATAGTGAAAAGCAATACATGCTTAATGTAATTGTAAGAGGAAATAAGCTGAAATTCAGGGAAAAGTTGTTAGATAGTCTTAGTTAATAACCTTTCAGTACCTCTGTTGCTGAAATTCAAAAATATGCGGTAAATATCCCAAACCAAATGAAACCATGTAAAAGCAGAGCTAAAGAGGTTTCGTTTCTATTGTAATACTACGGGATTTCGTGCACAGACTCATAGAACTGCATCAGTATTTTCACAGTTGACTTCTCGGGAGCAGCAGTTCTGGCGCGAGGATTTGTGATATCGATGGTTTCCAAGAGCAACAATTAACCAATCACAGCTCATTGGTTTCTCAAACAATCCGGCCCATAAGACTTAAGGTCATGTTATACGAGACGATTCGTAACGACAATTTTTAGCGCAACACAACGTTACAACATTGTTGCAACATTGTTTCGAATAGTTCCAACATTGTTCCAACATTGCAACGATGTGTTGCGCTAAAAATCGTCGAGGCGAATCGTCCCGTTTAACATCATCTTCAGCCCAAAAAGCTTGTGTCCATTCTCTCTCAAAGTTCTGTAGTGGTTTTAATGTTGAAGTAGCATCGGCTGTGGCCTGTTTTAACAAATAGTAGTTGATGCATTTGTCATGTATTTATTCTGTTCTCAGATAAGACAAGACAAACCGTCCCATCGCTCTAGTTTACCTAAAGACGCGCAAGTTACTGTTGTCTGTGCGACATTACCAGAAGAATTTTTCGAGGATACACTCCAAGATATTCTACCGGTAGGGTAGATAGAGCATATCGGTCAAAAGAAAAGTTTAGCACCTTTTGGTAAGGCAGAATGCTTCTTCAAGACAGGTAGCTAAAGCGGGCGGCCAAGTCCATGGGCGGAAAAAAAGAGTGGGAAAACGTGTAGACAATGGAAGGCGCGGAGAACGTGTGGCAACGGGGGGAAATGTGTTACACTGGAAACCGTGGTAACGTGTAAGGAAAAGTGTAGCTGATCTATGGAAAACGCGAAAGTGATCAAAAGCGCGGGAAGCCTTTATCGGTGCCTACGGTGGAAAAACCTTTGTCAAAAGTGGACAAACGTGTGCCTTTTAGCAAGAGTAGAAATGAACGTATGAGTCGCATGACGTGTTACTTAAGTTTTTCCCTTTAAAAGACAAGTTAGAGTCTTCAAAGGTTATATTTGAGTTTGAGTTCTTGTTTAGCAATAATGTTCAGGTTCTTATTCAAGTGTGAACATTTACCATTTAAATGTTGCTCTCCTCTTCTCTCCAGCATTTACAGGCTTGTACGTCTAGCCATCACCGTATCCTGCCACATGTGAGACACAAGTTTGTGAAAATCCCACAAAATGATAAACCAGGTAATTAATACAAAATTTTTATTTATTTTGATGGCTTTCACCGACAGAAAAAAATTATAAAATGATTTAATCGATAAGTAACAAATCAACGAAATATAGGCGGCACCATTGCCACAAAAAGTTATTGTTTTAGTGGCCTTTATTTGAAATCTATTGTAGGATTTCATCCGCAGGCTCAAGCATTTTATTTTCAGACCTGAAATAGAGGAACACCTTGTACAGGATAATAAACTGTACTAAACGGGAACACAAGAAACTACTGCTCAGTAGCTTTCACTTGAATGTATTTACTTTAAGATTCATTTATAGTCTCAAAAATTAGAACCACCTTGTACAACATAACAAGCACCACAACCAATAAAAATACTTCTGAGTACAGAGCTTCTAATTGAATGGAGTTTATGCAGCCAATCGTTACTTACAAATCAGCCTTTTGGATATTTACAATGATTTTTTTGCTATTACGGACCTTTTTTGTTTCTCTCTTTCCATACAGAACAACTTTTAGAACTTCTGAGAGAAGACCTGTCGTTGCACAATCGACGAACTGTTGTGTTCTGCAACACTACACCAAGCTGTGATTTTATAGGACATTATCTCACAAATAACGGCATCTCACATATCAAACTCCACAGCACCATTGCTATTGAGGTAGAGGAACTTGGAAGTAGTCTATCAATTTCACTGGCACAGACCTACCCAGTGGGGATGGGCTTGCAGACCTTCCATAGGGCGTGGGCAAGAAGACCTACCAAGTGGGGATGGGCTTGCAGACCTTCCATAGGGGGTGGGCAAGCAGACCTACCTAGTGGGGTTCAGGCCGTACCCTACCCACCCCTACCAGTTTGAACGTAGACCTCGCAATGGGAATGGGTATACAGACCTACATAGTGGCGTCGGAGACCTACCCAGTTGGAATCAGGGCTTGCAGACCTACCCAATGGGGATCAGGGCATGCAGACTACACAGTGGGGATGGGCACGCAGACCTATCCCATGGAGCCGTGGGATCTACCCAGTGGCGAAGGGCGTGTAAATCTAGCGAGGGGGGTGAGGGGGGGGAGGGGGGGGTTGCGCGTCCAGACCTACCCTGTTTGTTTCCTTTCTTCCTATTCACTATCACAACCGCCCTCTTTGTGTAACGTAGTTTGTGGGTACGTTCACTCAATACGGCACTTGCTTGATCTCATTATGATGATCTCGTTTTGACTCACCATAGCTCCTGGATTTGTTTGGTTGTTTGGTTGATTCATAGGGTAAATTAAATAGCGCCTTGGTGTGTATGGGGAGGAGATAGAATTTTATCCCATACACCTTAAATTCATGAAACTGTCCGTAACTCTTGTACTCGACATTAATAGACTTTGCCTTTCCTCCGAGGCAATTTTGTGCATTTTTTAATTGCATGACTGGATGCATTAATTGTTGTCTGCCTTACCTGTTGTAGGAAAGAAGTAAGTTGTTCAAAGATTTTCAAGAAGAAAAAGAGCGGATTCTTGTTTGTACTGACGTAGGGTCCAGAGGCTTAGATACTAACGTAAGATGTCGTTTTTGTGACGTCATCACTGCTTTTCTGTATTGATAGTATAGAGTGTTTTCACGTGACGTCACGGCGGCCATATTGGTGTCCTAAAACAATGATACGGCGGCCATGTTGGTGTCCCAAACCACTCCTCTGGGAGTTGAACTCTTTTCTTATGCAAATGCTTTCTTTTGTCCCAATAAATTTGCATAGATGATGGCCACGTGAGTGAAAACGCTCTATAGAGTTTAGCCAAGATAACTGCACAGGTCTGCACGTACGCTAAATATTACCGTTTAGCTAACTTTGTCTTCTTCAGAAGACTTGTTCACCAGCTCCACGTCTTCCCTCGTTCTTCCCATTTACTCACCTTCATTGCTCTTAACGCCGATGTGACAAAGATTCGTTTTTCAAGTTCATAATGGTGGAATGTTGATCATGAATGAATAAATGAATGAATATATGAATGTTAATCTGTGAAGGTCCTTTACACTTACGCAGCGTTTATCAAAAAACGTTAAACAAAGTGTTGAAACGAGTATCAACAAGTACGATTAAAAACGTTTTTGCTTGCCACTGACTTTGGTTTTGTGAGTTAAACTTGATTTAAATATAACTTCGATATCTTTTTAAACAGGTGAATCATGTGATCAATTTCGACTTTCCAATAAGTGTCACGGACTATATTCACCGCGTGGGAAGAACTGGTCGCGTAAGGACTGTTCCGAGGCAGGATGACGTCGCTATGGCCACGAGCCTAATGTCACATAACAGAGATGTGAGAATGGCCCTGGCAATCGAGGTTTGAATTGTTTTTTTTTTTTCTTTTTTTTTTTAAAGGTTGGCAGCTAGTATCTAGTATCAGAGTATAGATAAGTACAGTTATCTCTCTTACAAAGGCGCTGTGTCACAAAATTTATCAAAATTCAGAAAGAAGCAAGTGCCACAAAATTGAGTGAAACATAAAAATAACCCCCTCAAAATATTAAAAGAAGGTATAAATGGCACAGCAAATACAAAACAAGGCACGGATAGATGGATGTGTTTCTTGATTGTTTGCTGGTTTTTTTTTTTAAAGCTCGTTAAGGAAGGTATCAGTTGTTTTCCTACTTGAATTTTGGTATTTGTAATATTTGGCTGAGTGCTTGTTTGACGCAAAACTGCAATTTTATCATCAAGTTATTTTTCCCGAACGTTAACCCATTTCAGACCGAGCTTTTTTCGCTCCTTCGACGTGGGGGCCTCGGAGGCCCCCCTCTATATCTTAAAAACTGCTTATGATACAACCACCGTAACGATGCACTTATCATCAGGAATAGACACTGTTGAATTTTGAACCCAGCAGTTTCTCGAATTAGGCTTTAAAATGCCCGGATTATATAAACAGTCATAATAAATTTGATGAAGCGTTACGACGCCTTAAAAAATTTTCCAGATAAATTTGCAGCGAAGTCGCTAAGTTGGTCCGTCATAGCTTGAATGGTTTTGAATTTATTAAACTTTAAATCGAGAGGGGTCTCAAACACTATAATTTCACTAACACCCTAAAAAGTTAAAAAGTTGTGAATAGCTGCAAACAGCATATCATAAAATTGCGAAAATAAGCCCCTCCATGTATAAGCCCCTCCAAATATACGCCCCCCGGGGGTTTGTACTTGGAAATTGCCCTCAAATACAAAGTAAAACAAAGCAAAAACGGTAAATTTACTTCCAACTATAGGGCTAGCCCTATTGATTTTGAAACGCAAATTTCCTCCGTAGATAAGCCCCTCCAAAAACAAGCCCCACAAAAAGGGCCGTTGAAAAATATCAGTCCCGGGGCTTATTTTCGGAATTTTACGGTAACACTCCTTAAATATACTGAGACATCTCGTCTGCAGTTTTAAATGCAAAGTCCAATTGAAAAAAATAAAATAATGAAGGTTGCAACTTTTTTTCTCCCTAGGAAGCGGCGAGAAAAAACAAGTGTTTGAAAAGTATTGAAGTTCGCAACCTGCCAAAAGAGCAAGCAAGACATTCTAAGAAGCCTGGGCAGGTTAAAGTAAAACGTTCTAAAGGGACCGTTGATAGAACGGTGCTGAGGCGCAAGTCACGTGATGTAGTTGTACAACAGGCTCGTGAGAGTCTTGATATGGTTACATCGAACACTTGAAATGGAGTTTAAGATGAAATAAACAGATTTACCATCCATTGGAGGAATTTTCCCATTGTTTGGACTTGACGGGTCGATGACTCACAGGAACTGAAGTATATGCGGACTCTTCGAATGTCCGTTAGAACATAGTTAACGATGGTTGGAACAAATAAATGTACGCTTGATTACGCTGTTAATGAATATTGGCTATAAAACATTCCTCTATGGAAGAACAGCGCAACAAAGTGAAAAGTAATAAAGCAAAAGTTAAGGAAAAAATGTCTGTTATCAATTGCTGTTCTGTTCTAATTTACCTAGTCATAAAACAACCACAAAACACAAAACCATGTGCATGGAGAATAATGAATGTGCCGCGCGCAACCAGCACTGTTTATTAATTATAAAACAAATGAACATTTTGATACAAAACTCCAGCTATTATGGCTTACGGACACCTCTCTCGGTCCCGACAGCACAATTGGCCACTCCAGAAAATACCATAACATACCATAATGCTTTTTGATTGTCGCCCCAAAGTTTTGCATAAGCATTGTCTTCAGTTTCTCTTGGGAGTTAAAATGGCCCCAAGAGAAACTGAAAACAATGCTTATGCAAAATTTTGGGGTGACAAACAAAGAACAGTATGGTATGTTATGGTATTTCTGGAGTGGTCAATTGTATTGTTCTTACCCTCGTTATAATGGACATTAATCACCATCTTTCGAAATTTTGGCTCAGATAACAATTTGTTTCTTCCTCTTCTTCTTTTCGTCTCTGTCACTTTGGTTGAAAAGTAAACATTCCGAAGGTTATGGTTACGGTTAGGGACGTTAGTCCATGGTTTTGTCAAAATTTTGAAATTTCTTCATCTCTTTGCTTTAGGCCAAATATGCCAAGAAAAAGTGTTTGGTGGCGTTCTAAATAGAAAACTAGCTTTTCTAGACGATAAAAACATTGAATTAAAAAAGTCAACAAATTTGCATTCTTCCAAAGGGGTTAGTCTATGGTATTGGTCAAAATTTTGAAATTTAGTCATATTTTTTTAAGACAGAGAGTCCAAGAAAGTGATTGGTTGCGTTCTACATAGAAAACTAGCCTTTAAGACTATAATAACATGGACTTTAAAAATCGAAAAATTTGCCTTTTACCACAGGGGTTACTCCATGTTTTTGGTCAAAAGTTTAAGATTTGTTTATCCTTTCTCTTGAGGCCGAATGGGCCAAGAAGATGTGTTTGGTGGCGTTCTACATAGCAAAATAACCTTTTTAGACTTCAAAAACATCGATTTCAAATAGTTGAAAAATTTGCCTTTTTTCAAAGGGGTTTGTCCATGGTTGTGGTCAAAGTTTTGAAATTTCTTTATCCATTCCTGTTAGGCCAAAGAAGCCAAGAGGAAGTGTTTGGTAACTTTCTAGAAAGACAACTAGTCTTTTGAGACTGTAAAAACATCGATTTCAAAAATTCGCAAATTTTCCCCTTTTCCATGGTTAGCGTTAAAGTTAGGGGTTAGGGTTAGGGTTAGGGTTAGTGTTAGGTCAGGGTTAGGGTTAGGGTTAGGGTTATGGTAAGGGTTTAGGGTTGGACTTAGGGTTAGGGTCAAAACTTTGAGAGTTTTTTATAATTTCTCGTTAGGCCCAACAGGCCAAGATGTAAAGTAAAGCAAAACTTTTTTCACACAAGGTAGCCCATTCAGGTCTAAGGCTTGTCTCCATAGGGGCCCTGTATCTTAAAAAATTAATTTATATCAAGAATTTGTATGACCTGTTTTATTTAAAAAGCCTGATAAAAATTCAGTTATAGATTTTAAGAACTACATTAAAAAGCCCAAACATACAATGAAAAATCACATTTAAAGCTTAAAATTTCAAAAAATATCAAAGTTACGATAAAAAGAAATGTCTTGCTCGGCGGCAGAAGGTTTGAATGTTTTCACTCTTCACAATGTTTAAAGGGAGTTTGTTAAAAGTTTTTGCGCCAGTAAAAAGAAAAGTCCTTTTACCCAAATTCTGTTTAACGTTTGGTAAGGATAGCCTCATACCTTGCCTTGTGGAATAATTGTGAATGTTCGAAAATCTAGTAAAATACAATGAAAAATAACTAGGAACTAATGAGTGAACACAGAGAAAAACGAGTTTAGTCTTGTGGTAAGAGCGTCTGCTGGAAAGAGTCGGCCAGTGCAGCTGCTCTTTTGCTTCAGATGAGCGAGAGCAAAGTGTGATAATCCGTGCAGATCTATTCTATAGGCGCTGTAGGCGATCTATATCTTGCTGTAGAAGGTTACTCCAGGCAATGTCACAGTAATCAAATAATGGAAGAATAAACGCTTTGTGAACAAGTGTTTCTGCCTCTTTTGTGACGAAACTTCCAACACGGCCCAGGATACTAACTCTTGAGGCCACCCTTCTACACACATAGTCCGCGTGAGCCTTCCAAGTCATAAAGTTGTCGAACACCACGCCTAGGTATTTAAAAGTAGTTTCGCAAGATATGGACTTTCCGAGAAGATTAAGATTTAAAATGCAATCGCGCTCTTTATGCCTTTGAGATGTAAATAGTACACACTTAGTTTTTGAAATATTGAGAACAAGATTATTGTCTTCTAGCCATTCAGATACACACTGAAGTTCTTGGTTACTGTAAAAAAATAAACTGTGTACGGTTGGACCAGCAAGATATAAAACTGTCGTCAACGTACATATTTACAAAACAGTGTTTGACACAACGTGGTAGGTCATTAATGTGGACAATGAATAAAAGGGGTCCGAGGATGGACCCCTGCGGCACTCCAGAAGTTATGACAAGTTATTCAGATGACTGAAAATCAATGTGCACGGGGGGGGGACTCCGCATATGAAATGGGTGGGGATGCTCGTCGTCTCGCTAAGGGGTGTAAATTTCGGATTTTGGTCTCACTTAGGGTGTTCTGGGCAAAACGCCACAATATTTAGCCGTGAAGGTCTCGTTTAGGGTTGCCTGCGAAAAAAAAATAGAAATATATATTTGATATGTATATTTTTTCCGTCTCTTTTAGGGGTCAAAAAACGCTTGGGCCACGCCCAGATCGGTCTCCTTTACGGGTTTAATTCAAAATTTCCGACGAGCATCCCCACCCCTTTCATATGCGGCGTCCCCCCCGGGGGTTGCACGAACTGCTTTCTTTCCGTGAAGTACTTCTTAAACCATTGAAGGCTTTCATCGTATACACCATAATACTCTAATTTGCTGAAGCAAAATGTCATGGTCAACTGTGTAATGTGTGGGTACTTTCTCCTATTCACTAGAGAGAGCTGTGATCCGAATGTTGCCGCAGTGCTAAGCCCTCCGCGCTTACCTGGAAGTGAATAGACCCACCTCCATGGTTAGGAGAGACCTTTCTCGATCTTCGTCTCCTTTTTCGCCATATCGAAGACCTAAATCTTCTATCGAGGATCATATATTCTACTGGCACAACAGTGAAGCTGGAATAAGCCAAAGAGTAGGCCCAGAGGTAGGTGCAGTGCACTGCTAAAGAAGAATAGCTGTTTCTAAGTCCCACCATAATTGCAAACAAAAGCCAGCTGCCTAAGTAAGTGACGACCATAGCAATGCATATTTTAGTCAATTTGACCTCCTTCTGTACTCCCGAAGTGCCGAGAACGGAGCGAAGGTGGGACGAATACTCCCGAACGTACTTTACGATTCCATGAAATCTGTAGAAAATAATGCACAGGGAAGGGACGATCCACAGAGTCACCACGGCGAGCATGGCTGACTTGCCAGTAAGAGCTTGGGTATGTATTTCCCGGCCGGGTCTGTTGCACACGTGTCCTCCCTCAAAGGCGGTCAATATGTGTCCGGTACCCCCGGGTACAACGGTACAACATGAAAACAGCCAGATAAATACAAGATAATATGCTGTTTTCTTGCAGGTTATCTTACGGTTTGGTGCTAAACAAATGGCATCATAGCGGTCAACTGCGATGGTGGCTAACGTCATAATGTTGACGGCAAAGCACGTGAACATTGTGAAGAACCTTGCCAAACAAACTGTGAAAATCAGGTAAGAGAAAATTTTAGTTTACGAATATTGTCAAGCTTCCCAAGAATTTGCATCCACATATTGAACAATTACTGAATGAGATTTTTGATCTAAGTTAGGAGAGTTATCAGACGAACTGAAAGCAAACTCTAGTTATCTAGAGTTTGAAGCAAAACGGAGCAGTTTATATAACGAACCTTTTTCGGCCTCGTATCACACCTTACGAAGCAGTGTTTACAATGTAGTTAGAAATCTTAATTAATAAAATAGTTCAAAATCTCGATTTCTACTTAAGTATTTTTCACACATCATCTCATATTTTCAATCAATAACCGATCAGTCCCCGTTAAACACTGCAATCGGAACGTTACTTCATCCCTACGGCACAATAATAAGTTGAACCGAGGATGTTTTTCGATCAGTGCAGTAACTGTCTTTATCATTCATTCAAATATTTCCCCGATCCTGATTGGCTAAAAGCGCACGCAAAATTCACCATAACCAGCTACTGATGACCAAATTTGGAAGAATTTCGCGTTTAATGAGAAGACGTCAAAAGTGCAGCCTTCTTGCAGGTTAATGCACCGTTAACTGAGAAAACCTGGGGACGAGGTTGAGTACTGATTATTTTTACAAACATGAAGGTGTTGAAGATTGTAAATAATAGACTGTAAATAATTTAAATTTTCACCTATTATAGAGGATTTATGATCACATAATCATAATCATATTATTATTTATCTCCTTGTGTTTTTTATCAAACTGTTTTTATTATCCTGAGTCCCCGACTCGATGCAACTACTCAGCTGTGTTTGGAACATTCAAAAATTTTCTTTAGTCTCTAACTGAAACGCCAATATTTGCAACAACCTTATCGGCAATACATTTTTTACGATTTCGAATATTTACAACGGTATGAATGCAAATTTGCGTCCAATTTGCATGCAATTTTCTTTGTAAATTTTCTATCAGTTTGTGTGCAGAGAGAAAGTTCAGACACAAAAAACCAATCTCTGGTTCATTTTTATCAAGGGGCTTTTTCGAAACATTTCCAATTTTCCTCATTGTTTTTACACATTTTTTCCCAGGGAAACGCACGTCGGCGATCTCATTTCATGTTCATATTCATTGGCTCCACTTCCGAAGAAAGAAAGTAAGTAAGTAAAATTTTATTTACACGGGGTAGCTCAGTCAGCTCTAAGGCCGATCTCCATGGGGGCCCTGTATCTTAAAAATTAATTTACATCAAGAATTTTCATGAACTATTACATTTAAAAAGACTAATAA